GTGATGAGGATGTCTCTTTAGCTTTCAATGTAGTTGTAGGGGAAGATTTGATTTCCAAACAAATAACAAAATTTTGGGACTTGGAAAACTCAGGACTTATTGATAAGAGGGAAAACTTCGATTCAACTGAAAATGAAGTCGTCGAATATTTCGAATCAAATATAACATATGAAAATTCTCGCTATAAAGTTAGATTGCCTTGGAAACATGACACATCAAATCTAAATAATAATAGGGAAAATCGCCGAACAAAGATTTCATCGACTTGGAAAACGATTTAAAAAAGATCCTAATCTATTTTCCGAATACAGGAACGTATTAAGAGATCAGTTAAAACAAAATATTATCGAACCAGTTTCAGAAATTTTCAAATGAAGAGGAGTGTCGTGTTTTACTTGCCACATAGGGAAGTTATACGCGAGGATTGAGCTACAAGTAAATTACGTATTGTTTATGATGCATCATCGCATGCCCCAGGATCCATTTCTTTAAATGACTGTCTACATGTTGGGCCAAATTTATACCCTGACATATTCGAAATATTGTTAAGATTTCGGTATAATCTAATAGCCTTCACCGCAGATATAAAACAAGCCTTTTTACAGATTCTCATACATGAAAAAGATCGAGACGCAACCAGGTTTCTGTTTTCAAATTTCCCTAATGATGAAACCATTTCTCCTGACATATATAGGTTCACTAGAGTTTTATTCGGAATAAATAGTAGTCCATTTCTATTAGCCGCTACCATTAAACATCATCTGAAAAAATATAATAAAATTTATCCTACAACGGTTAACTTTTTGAATGAGAACGTATATGTAGATGATGTGATTGGAAGCCAACCAACGATCAATGAAGCTACTAGTCTAGAATCGGTCCAAATATTTAAGGAAGCAAGCATGCAGCTTCACAAATGGCATAGTAACTCGAGACAATTACATGAATTGTGGGTAAAAAAGGGTATCGTTCCAGATGAAAATCCTGAAAATTTTAATAAAGAAAATTTCCCATTTAAAGTCTTAGGTATGGCATGGGATAATACAAAGGACTTGCTGTATTTTGATGTTCAGAACTTATTGTCTTTCACATCTAAACCAATAGAAAACAAAACGATTTCTTCTACAAGTGTTTGGGTAGGATATTCGATCCGATTGGAATTTTAGAACCTTTCACTGTTAGAATAAAGTGCTTAATACAGAAGATTTGGTTGTCACCAAATAGATTGGGATGAACCGTTACCTGAAGATTTGTCCTCTGAATGAATGGAGAAAGTGGTGTGAAGAGCTACCTCAAATGGCTGAATTCTCCATCTCTCGTTACCTTTTCATGCACCTCGAACATTAATGTCGAAAATCTCGAACTTACATTGCTTTTCAGATGCAAGTGTCAAAGCCTATGGTACAGTCGCATATTTACGTTTCACGACAGAAAATAAAGAAATCAAAACGGCCTTTGTCTCTTCTAAAAATAGGGTAGCCCCACTAAAACCCCTTACTTTACCGAGGTTAGAATTAGTGGGGCATTGTTATCAGTTACGTTAGTCAGCAATATTCTGAAAGCACTGAAATTGAGGATTCCGTGCTATTTTTGGACAGACTCAACAATTACTTATTTTTGGATCCAGAAACAACCTGAAGCCTTCAAACCCTTTGTCAGGAATCGTGTCGAAGAAATACAAAAATTGAGTTCACCTCAAAATTGGCATTATTGCCCAGGTGTCGACAACCCTGCAGATCTCGTATCTCGGGGAACGAAGATTTCCAAGTTAATAAATGAGACCATTTGGACGCAAGGTCCCCAATGGCTTCAACTCCCTCACGAACTTTGGCCAAGATTAGATATTAAGAACAAACAATAGATGAAAACAAGCTGGAATACCGAAAGGGATCCGGTGATATACATCAACTTGAAAGTACAGATGATCTTTTCGACATATCAAAATATAGCAAATTAGAGAAGGTGTTAAGAGTCACTGCTTGAATAACACATTTCATTAGAAAATTAAAAAAAAACTAGCGACATTCAAGAAACTCTCACAGCTGAAGAGTTACAAGAAGCAGAAAATTTCTGGATAAGATCAGAGCAAAAGAAGTTTTTTGCCGAAGAATATAAATCCCTCAAAGAAGGTAATTCAGGTTGGAAAAAATTCTCCTTTGTATAATTTTCTTCCTTACATTGATGAAAAGGAAATCATGAGGTTGAGAGGAAGACTTAGAATTTTCTGACTTTCTCACTAGATAATAAGTATCCTAATAATCTTACCTAAAAATTCTCCGACTAACGATTCTGAATTGTATGCAAAGAACATGAGAAGATAATGCATGGAGGAAATTGCTGCAACTTTAGCCAAAGTCAGATTCACGTTTCTGGATTCCTAAAGGACGACCAGTTAGTCAAAAAAAGCATTAAAGGTTGTATGATTTGCCAAAAATATTTAGCTAAACTAGCAGACCAGATGACAGCACCCTTACCAAAGGATAGAATCCAAGAATCGCCTCCATTTGCAGTCTGTGGAATTGATTTCGCCGGACCAGTTTACGTAAAGTTTCGCCGGACCAGTTTACGTAAAGACATTCGAAAATCCTATATTGTTTTGTTCGTTTGTGCAGTAACCCGAGTTGTACACTTAGAACTTGTATCAGATATGTCAACAGAATCCTTTTTACTTGCATTTTGCAGATTTTTGAGCAGAAGAGGAAACTGCGTAATCATATACTCTGACAACGCCAAGACCTTTAAGAGGACAAAGAAAGGACTTGAGAATTTTTCAAAAGTTTTAAAAGATGACGAATTCAAGAATTTCATTGCCAAAGAAAGAATCCATTGGAAATTTATAATCGAACGAGCCCCATGGTGGGGAGGGTTTTATGAGAGACTTGTTAGATCTGTTAAAGAATGTTTAAGAAAAATCGTAGGAAAAGCATTGTTGACTTTCGAAGAAATGTCTACACTACTTGCCGAAGTGGAGTCAGTTCTTAATTCACGACCTCTAAGTTACGTTTACAACGACAATGACGAGCCGCAACCATTGACTCCAATGCACTTCTTAAACATTGGACAAACTGATTTGAAGTATCCTTTGACCTTTGCTAGAATCATCGGTAGCGAAACGACAAGAGAAACGCTGTTAAAAAGAAAGCGTTATCAAGAATTGCTGTTAAAACAGTTGTGGTGGAAATGGAAGCAACAATATTTATTAGATCTTAGAACTGCCCATTTCTTGAAGAATCCGCAACTTCAACCAGAACTAAAAGTAGGAGATGTTGTTTTAGTCGAAGGAGATAATAAAAACAAACTCTTATGGAAACTTGGTAGAATCATAAAAATTATTCCTGGACGTGATGGTAAAGTCCGATCATTCGAATTAAAAACTGGTAATGGGATTTTAAAACGTACTGTTCAACATCTATATCCTCTTGAACTTTAGATATTTTGAACTTTAACGATTTAGTTATTTTTTTTTTCTTTTTTGTCTATTAATGATTAAATTGAATATCGTTAGTTAAGTTTGTTCAGTTAAGTGGAAAATATTTTAAAATTTAGTTCATTTATTAGTTGTAACATTTATTATTTGATACCTGTATTGGAATTTAAGTGTTTGACTAATTAGTATTTTTTAATATTTTTATAGAATAGTGATTTATGTACTTGATTGTATGTATAACTGAGTTAGATGAACTCTTGTCAGAGTTCAGGTGGGGAGTGTGTTAAGGAATATTCTTTGATATCGCCAAGAGATGGCGTTAGGAGTCCATCTATTGGCTTACTTAACCTTTCCTCTTCTGAACACGTGACTTGAAAAAAAATATTCTTCTTCTTGAAGGTAGAATTTCGATGCACTACGCAATAGAATTCGATTTAGATTTTAGCTGGAACTATTCAGTTCTTTCCTTTTGAGCATTAAATATTCGATTCAGGCATTTTAGCCTACATTGTATATATGTAAATATTAAGTTTAATTAAAATTTATGGAAAACCCTCCAGGCCATGCATCTCATTTTTGGATTATGAGTGATTCGACTTTGATCTAGAACATTTCGTTACAATGTAGCTTAGTACTAGCTTAGAGCCTTTACTTTAAATATTAATTTCAAGGTTATTTTCCGTCACCCCCTTTTACTCATAACAACGGGAACAACCGCCGCGGAAAAAAGATCGATTCGCTTAATTTTTTTCCCCCTTCACTTCCGTTTATAATATTTCGATTCTGTACTAAATCAAAATTACGAAGTATAACTTTTTATTATCCGTATGACTTAGATGCTCTTTCGTGTAATGATATGTAAATTACAAATTTGCATATTTTGATTAATATATTACTAATCCGTTTAATTAATTTTGGCGGGAATAACAATGCTAATTATTAAAATATAACTTTAAGCAATGATATTCTGTTTTCGAAGAAGATCAGACTAAAAGTGAATTATTTTTCCAAATTTTAATAATCATATTTGAAGCATAGGGGTTGTCTCAACCAAATCAGCTTTCAACTGCACGTGAAGAAATTTCACAACGAGCACTAATGAAGTTTGACTTGAACTACAGCTTCAAATGAAATGGAGAAATGAAATCCTGTGCGGCAATGACGACACGTGTTACGATCGCAAAATAGGGCGCCTGCCAACGATCTTAAAGGTCCTATTTTAAAGTACTATCACATCAGTATTTGTTTTGAAGATTTCTGTGCTCCAGCTTCCTGGACCTACACATTATGATCTATCGTGTGAACTGGCTTTTATTCCTACGCTTGGAAACGAGTTTCATTACTTTACTCTATAAAATGACGTGTGAATGTGCTAAAGTTCTTCTTCCAGTTTCAAAGTACGTAATGAGATTTAATAAATATTAATTTTTTAAAAAATATTTGATATCATTTTTATAGAAGCAAATGGATAAAAATATGAGACACACACACAAAAAAGTGGACTGCATTTACTTCTGAACATCTGTAATTGTATTGCTGTGTATTGTGTACATAAAATAATTTGAAGAAATACTAGTTTGTAAAAGTTTGCAGCGTTTAATAAAAGTAAGTTATTATTTAATTATATACAAGCATTTTAAAACTATCTTCAGTGCGTTACACAACATGCTACACATTATACTTTCTGCTTTCAATTCACGTATTACGCGTTATTTATCTCAAATTAAGGATTCCTAGAAGTCGTCTATTCATACGTTGTTGCTTCATTTATCGCTGGACATTCTGCGTTCATGAACATGCTCATTTCCTGCATGCATTCTACTGCTAGCTCCTCTTGTACGTTGCAACGGGCTTTCATCATATCATTCCATCTGCAAACCTAAACCAGAACAAATAAAAAAAGTAACAAAATTTAACAAAAAAATTCTCCAAAAAGAAAATCTGAAGAGATTCCAAAAGAAAATCTGAAAGGTTTCAGATTTTAAATTATGTCCAAAGGGGCACTTTTTTAACATTTTGTGTGTTACCGTTATTTATTATATATCATGCTCTTTGCACTTAAAGCATAAAATTCAGTTCAAGAGCAATATCACAAAATAATTTTAAAATGAGCATATCTTTAGAATTTCCGATACACAGTCTCGGGCGCTGGAGATAAAAAAAATTTTTTTTTTTTTCCTGTACAATGTTACCAATGCTCGCTTTGAAATCATTAAGTTTGTTAATGGAAAATTAGTTAAAGTTTTACAAAATATGAAATCGGTAATAAAATAAATTCCAAATTTCAAATTTGGGCTTCCAGTTGCCCATATTCGCAGAAGGATTACGTTATTCAAAATTGGATGGCTCTAGGTACCGTTGTTTTATCATAATGCGAGAAACATACATACATTTATGCAGATGCTTCATTACTTAATTTCTTTAAATTTAATGCAGGGCGATAATATTTGAGGGCAACAATTTGAAAAGTGAAGCAACGCAAATTGCCAAAACGAAATTCATACTCCCTCTGGACAAATTGCCCCTCTGGACTGAAAAGGAATATTCCGTTGTATTTAGGCATAAACTTCAGTGAAAAGGCTCATCACACATTTTGTTAAAGAGTGTCTCAAATTGGGCTGTATCTACTCCTTGGGCGGATATTGCCCACTTTAAATTTTACAGAGCAAAGACATCAAGGGTTATAAAAGGAAGTTTTTAGGTTTAGAAAGGAAAAAAGATTTATTAGAATAAGATTTATTGTAATAAATATTGTTACTTTTCTTACTATAAGATTAGATATAATTCATGCAACCTCTTCAACATATTACCTAAAGGTAGCATCGTGCTTTGCTTTCTTCTCCTATATAGCATACAAATTTAAAGACAAGAGATCTTAATAATGTATTATAACTTCTGACAAAAGTTTTAAAAAATTAAAAAGAAATTGTTAAGTTATTAAACGTCATGATTTCATACTTCTGTTGAAACACTTTAATTTCATAAGCTATTAGCTTTTGATTAAGATTATCTGTTCTGCAAATAAATGTTAGAATAGTCTTCTTTCTATTGTGATACTAATAATAATGCTATTGTTACATTATGTCTGCACAATTTTAATCACAAAGAAGTTAATACTTATGTTAATTTTTTTTGTATTGGTAATATTTTGCAAATAAATAAAAAAAATTAAATCTGTCACAACATGCTACACATTATAATAATTTATAAATAGATAATAAATAATTTATAAATAGATTAATTCACACAAAACGTGTATGCACATAAGATAAAGAATATGTAAAATATAATCTTAACTTTCCTGTAATAACGCTATAAGTCTATTATTTAATTTGGCTATTTCCATTTCTATCCTAAAAATATCTGAAGTGGACAATACATGATTTTCTTGTACTATTAATTACACAAAGTCTTATTAATATTAAGCTTTTTATTTAATTTAAATTTAAACGAAACATACCGCCTGTGCTTGCCAACCAAACTCCGCCTCTTGCGGCTATTTAAAATAACATAAGTTGAATTTACAATCTGAAAGTATCGTAGCGGGGCACTATATAAATTTAGCCTGATTAATCTGACTCAAAACGTTAACCGCGCGTTTTAACGTCGGCCAGCAAAATGGCTAATGCTGAAAGTTGCTCAAAACTAGGCGGTAAATAAATAACTGCAATGGCAACTGTCACAAGCTTTGTATGTATAATTTTCAAAATCCTCTTCTCAAATTCTCTGCAATCTTATACTAGTGAGGGCTAAAGGAAAAGAGAAGTTATGGTAAAGGTTAAAATCCTAAAATTTAAACATAAAATCATAAAGCTTAAACATAATCCTAAAATCTACACATAATAATTTAATCTTTTTTGCGTAACATCTGTACATACGGACGTAATAAAGGATTTTTATTTCCCAAAATGGATTTTGAAGTGAATTAAGTGAATTCAGAAGAGAGTTTATCATGGCATCTGTACGTACGGACGTACGTATGTATGTCTGTATCTCGCCTAATTCGAAAACGAGTAGCCTCGAAACGTTGAAATTTTGTGCATGGGACTGCTATAACATGCAGTTGTGCGCCTTCCGTTTTGGTTGCAATCCGGTCGTACCAAACGTATATATGTATACATATATACTCACTCTGCTACCCGGCTCGGGGAGCTCAGTTTTTTTTTTATATGTTGGTGAAATGTGGATTTCTTGCCTTAAAAGTGATTGAATTACTTTTTCTTATGTTCCGGATAACGTTTGTATGCCTTTAGTTAATCTACATGCAAGAATTGCAGAATTATCAACAATTTAAAAGTTATTTCAGTGCTACTAAGCCTAATGTAGCCGCCATTTGTGTACATTTGAAACTCTTTAATAGAATAATAAATTAAGTCAGTTTCCGCACCTTCAGTGTTTTTTGCCGATTGAGACGAAAAACAAACTTTCAGTTTTGTGCACCGAAAAATCTGTCTTCGAGCCCGCTGGTCGGATTGCTTGCTTTGGCTTAGAAAATCTAATTTTAATTGTAAAAATTGTTTTTTAAAACTGTTTTAACTGTATTTATTGTTTTATGTTTTTTCTGTACTTTAAAATTTTTAATGCAGATGTTTTCAGTTTTTATGGTTTTTTTGCTTTGCCGCGAAGTGAGAACTGAATTAATTGAATGAGAAGTATATCTCTAATGAAATTCGAGGAAAAAAGATTAAATGAAATGCAGCAAAGAATGTAAATAATTTAATAGGCCGTACAAGAAAGTCATGTGGTGGCCACATCAGATTTTTTTTGTTTGTGCTTGAGGCTACTTTTTCCTTATTTACTGAGCTTTTATTCTGTTATTGTTTGAAAGTATATTTTATCGATTCAATAATCATATTACCTTTTTAGTATAAATATTTATTCAAATTCTATGATTCATTTATCATAAGAGCATCACACATTAGTTAACCTTTTATTACATCTCTTAGCCATGAATTATACGGCAACCTTCAGAAAAGCTAAGTGTAGTTTGTTACATTTCTTCATTTCATTTATTTGATATTTTATAAGCAATTAAATAAAATATTTGTATTGTAAAATTTAATTCACCATTTCAGAGGCTTTTATTTTTTATTCCTTTTACTTTGCACTAGAAGCAAGATTGTTTACCAAAATGTTTTAATTACTTTAATTATTAGCTTATGATTTTGTTGAATTTTTCTTTTGAGATTGAAATTTTGTCTAATGAAGGACAAATATGACAGTCGAACTAAGCAATAATATGGAAGAATGTTAAAATTTAGATTGTTTATAAAATATCGCAATCATAAACCAACAGGTATAAAAATTTATTTTATACTGGCGTACTCGTTTTTGTATACGAGGGGAAAAAACTGCAAAATTTCTTACTTCGTGATCTTCATCGGGACAGTTTTCTGGACCTCCTTCTCCCCTCTCGTGCATAGCTATCAATGAAAAGTATACTATTAAATTATCTTTATTTTTGCACAAAAAAACTTCAAATTATCTTTTAAATTACTTTCTATTAAGCTAATTCCTTATGACTTATGAATTTTGAAATTATAAATGGTGCAACAATGTATATAAAATGGCTAATGATACAGGATTTTTCCATTTTTAAAATGAATCGATTAGTTGAGGTAATTCATTGAATATTTTGATTTTTAAATTTTTAAATTTCATAAAACTTTCTCTTAATCCTATAAGCCTTTCACTGAAATTTTATTAAAGTGCATCAGTTCACTACTCAGAAGTGCATTAAATTACGACACTTTCAGTCAGAGTTATTCTATTGAAACATTACACAATTTTTTAAATGATATAAAATTTAATAAATTATACATCATTTTAAAAATAATTTCGTATGGAATTCATAATTTATTTTTCTTTTAAAATGACAACATTATTTCAGTAACAAAGAAAGACTTATAAAATGTACAATTAGGTAACTAATGAGAATTTGAAACTGCTTTCTCAAGCCATTATAGCACTTTCTGATGTCTATATTTTGTTTATAATGTAATTATTATTATTTGCTTTAAATTTTTCCTGAATTGAAAACTCTACAGTGCAAACTCATTTCCTTTTACTTTATCGTTCAAATCATGTTTTACGCAAACAACGTAATTATGGATGCTAAAATTATTGCACTGCATGAATGAAGAATCCTTCATTCATGCAGTGCAATGTTTAATTGATTTGTTTTAAATGTTTAATCGTGTTTAATTGATTATATTGCTGTTGAATTAATATAAATTCTGGCACTCATAATTCGACAACTAGTGAATGTATTCATAACATCACTTTAATCAGAAATCTGGAAAATCGCCACGAAAAGAGAAAGCCAATGAATCTAGAAACAAAAGAAGCAACTACGCTACTACGTATTTAACATTTTTAGGTAGCCTGTAAATCAGACGCTCAATAAAAATGTTTTAGAGCTCATAAACCTGTAAAAAAAACCTTTTATTAATAAAAGACAGGGGCTTAAACGGCCATCCTGCAAGATGGACTATGGATTAATGACGCAAGGTTATCTGTATTGACGAAACAAAATTTTGACATTCAATGAAAAAGATGCTGACATATTGACGGTTTTAAACTATGTTGCATTACATCATCTGCAAAATTTTCTACTGTAGTTATTATACTTTATTTTATTTCACGTAGTGTGGGTCGACATCATATTGCAGAAGCAAAACTTAATGCAGCCTAATATATTTCAAGTGCTGGAAAAAGAATTACTTCTTTTAACTTGTGGGGTTTATTTAATTTATTTAACAGTTATTTTACTTTCAATCAGCTTTCCTGTCGAAATTGCTTTCAATTCAAACTTTCTTTCTAAAATGCAAATTGACTAAGGCTTGTATTCAAATGAAGTAGAAAGAAGTTAGTATTTAAGGAAAGGTTTTACAAGGTGAAATCAAAGCATATTATGCCAACTTGAAGGCCACGTTGATATCTTTGATTCTCTAGTGATAAGATTTCTGTGGCTTTGAATCATTCTTGTCATTAAGCTTGTTTCCGCCCACTTTTGAGGCCACCTTGCGCGATAGTTAAACTTTGAAGCCGTTAGCCGTACTTAACTTGATTAATTTTAAAGTTTTTCTTTACCTTTTGAGTTAAGCCAAAATTTTGGTTTTTGTAACCAAGAGTTAGTGCCGACAGTTAAAACTTTATTTGAGGTAATAAAAAGTTCTCTACACCCTTCTCCGGACTTAAAAGGTTTGGTGATTATTCATCTGTTAATCTTCAACGTCGAGTGCATTTTATGATAGCCAAGAAAGTATGACGTTACACTGTCCTCCGAATATTAAATAGAACTATATCACAGGAAACTGAAAGAATGTATATTCAAGGCTAGGACTTTAAAATGTTATTTTCTTCAATATATTGAATGAACTTAGCTCTAAAAAAAAAAAAAAAAAAAACCTTGTAAATTCAATATATACTATATTGCAACAGGTGTTCGAAGTAGCTCCACACTAGTAATCGAAGTGCGATGTTCTGAATTTGTAAACATGTTACATAAATATAAATTCATATGATTTATTTATAATTTAATTGCAAATAAAAACAGTTAATACTAAAGCAGTTTTTTATTGTTACGCTTCAGATAAAAAAAAAGATATATTCTCATAGGAACAAAATTGTTTTTGGAAAAGAAATTTAAAGAATTAAAAATTAGCATTAATACACGCTCCGAAAAATTTCAGCTATAACATTTTCCCGTTTAAATTAAATTTCGATTTAATTGAACGTGAAATTAATGTATATGAAAATTTTATGTAAAATGCACGATTAAAGCTCTTTGATTGGAGAGAAATAATGCAATCTGTGCTAAGTACGTGTGTTGTGACTTATCTCATTAATATGAAAGTAACATCAGAACAAGCCCACGAAATTCATTGTGGCAACGGGTGCAAGATTGCGCTTGTCACTGGCAACGGCTTGAGCACCACGCGGGTGACAGTACCATTTTGTTCAGTTCTGCCCCCCAATTTTTGATGGAGTGGGTCGGATCTGGGTCACCCACTCGTCTTCCCCTACCATCAACCTCTCGACAGGACTTTCGGCTCTCCGAATATTTGTAGTGATCCCATGCCGCACAGACCCTCGGTACGGCAGTCAGAGTCACTAACCACTATACCGTTTGGGTGGCGATAAATGTGTAACACAGGGTGTTAGATATATGTTTTAGTAATTAGAATATTACAGTATTCGTTAAATTTATAGCTGGATATATTATAAATTCATTTCTTTTAATTTACGTCAGTTGATTGTGAAATACAAAACTTTAAATTCCAAAGACATGATTTATTGTTTATGAAATTGCTCAGTTTGCTAAACTGCAATAGATTGATAAATTTAAAAAATAAATCAAACCTTGTATTTTGGTTTCTTCTGAAAAGCTATGAGTACCGCTGCGAGGAAACTAAACTAAATGATTTATGTTATGAGTGGCAACACTACTTATCAAAACGCCTCGGTATTAAATGCCTAGTATAAGGCAACAATCTTGGAGTTGCTCATCTAATGATGTACTTTATGACAAAACTAAAATAAATATTTAAATTTTTCAGAACTGAGTTCATTGCTTAAGCATTTTCAAAATAATTACAGATTAGTAAATTTTGAAATCTAAACTATAGGTCTTATGTTTTGTTGAACGACATTACATTGAGAACTGAACAATTTCAATATTACAGGAGAACTAAATTGATCAAATGTTTTGCATAACGGCAATACTCGACAATCTGCTTAGATCATAGAATAACATAACATAATGGTTTAAAAATTTTGAGACTAAGGCCAAAAGATTATAGATTAAAAGATAATAAAGTTGATGCTTATTATGGCATAAAAATTCATAATGTATTATTAGTTTTCATAGGGCTGTTTTGTAATATTTTTAATGGCAAATTTTGCTTATTATTTGCGAAAGACCTTTCCTGAATTGCCTGTGTGTTTCCTTTCGAAAGGTAATAAATGTAACCAGTTTATCTTTATAACCGATAAGCCTTCGTGAAAATCAAATTTCATGCTTAAAGAAAAAGGAATTTTAAATTAACGAATTTTTTTAAATTAAAGAATAAATTATCATCAAAAAGTTAAACATTTCTAACTAAATTAATAACTAATATTCTTTAATTTTGTTTTATAATTATTTTCGCGCAAAAATGTCTTCATTTTATCTGAAAAGAAACTCATATGATTATTTAAACACGGAACATGAAAACGTTCAAAGAATTGTTAGCTACTGAACAAGCATTAAATGTTTCTCATTCTCTCTTCATTTTAAATTTTTGAATGAGAATTTCTTAAAATTATGTTTTTCTTAGTTTTCGGTCGCAATTGGCTAATTTTAATCACGAACAAGCTTAAATCGGCAAATTTAAAATTTTGTAAAATTTTAAAACTTTATAGCGCATAAATTAGTAATTATTTTAGATATAGATTTAGTAAGATAAAAATATAGATGTTAAAATATTACATATAGATATTATATATTATAATACATACATAAACATTTAAAATGTTTCAAACGTTACTTCTTTCGATAGTATGTTCCTTTTCAGAACCTCGATTTATGAAATAATTTTGAAATAAACTTTACTTTTAAAGTAAAAGAAGACTATAAATGAATAAATGAAAAATATTAAGTGAAAAACTTAATTTCCCAAGGCAGTGTATTGACTAGAAAATCAATAATTGTAATGAAATTAAAGACATCAACTTAATCTTAATTTTCCGACTAGAGAGAATTTCCGACTAGAGAGGCAGTGTATTGACTAGAAAATCAATAATTGTAATGAAATTAAAGACATCAACTTAATCTTAATTTTCCGACTAGAGAGAATTTCCGACTAGAGAGGCAGTGTATTGACTAGAAAATCAATAATTGTAATGAAATTAAAGACATCAACTTAATCTTAATTTTCCGACTAGAGAGAATTTTAAAAGAAATCAGATGACTTATTTCTTCGCCGTAAGAATAACCTAAATTATATCATTTCTTAAAATAATGTTAAGCTTTATAATTCAATAAATTCAAATTTTTATAATTCATGAAACATTCTTACCATGCATTTCCTCTCGCATAGCTCTACTGAAGTTTTTGCATGCCGGGGGCATGAGACATTCTCCTGGTCCTCCTGGTCCTCCTGGCCCACCTGGTCCTTCTGGTCCACCAGGGGGACCTTCAGGTCCACAGGGTCCACCATGACCACCTCCTGGTGGGCCACCTCGTGGAGGGCCTCGTGGTGGTGGTCCACGATGTCCAGGAGGAGGCCCATGCCGTCTTTGAGACACTGCCATGCTGAAGAGGCATCCAAACAACAGAAATCTTAAGGACATCATAATGAAACGTAACTGTAAACGAAATGAAAGAGTCTTCAGTGTACCATGACTTTTATATGTTTTCACTATGTGCTATGATTAAACATTTAACAATACATGAGCAATAATTTAAAAAAATCTAATAGTTTTGCTTTGTTATGAACATGAACTTCCTTTTATAAAGGTATGCTAACTATATGTCATGCATCTTGACAATGGCAGTTTTCTCCTTAATACACAAAAAACTTTGTGCCGTGATTTAAAATTTGTTCAGCTGTTCCTAATGAGAATACCGTATTAAGGAAAATCATGCTGCCGCTTTATGCGTTTTGCGCTTTTTTCTTTTATGAAATATATGGCAAAATAGGAAATACAATTTTGATAACTGTTTTCTCATATTTTCCATATTTGCTAGTATTGGTGAATAGAAGATTTAGAGTAATGGAGAATAGAACTGGTCTAAGATCTTATGTTGAATAATTCGGATCTTGCATTATCTTATCATTTCCTCATCAGTTAGTGTTGCTAATGAAGTGATTAAATTTAGGCTGGAATCATGAATTATATTAATATTAGGTAAGACAATTTGGGATATCTAAAGTATCTATCTAAAGTATGTATCTTTAAATAATAAAATGTTATCTATCTTTCTCTCTCTCTCTCTCTATATATATATATATATATCAAGCAAGGTAGTAATTACAATACTGAATGACCAATTTGGTCTAGAAAACATCTTGCGCAATATGCTGCAAAATAAGTAAATTAGAAATTGTAGTAACCTCGCCTAAAAGTTACTAGGAGCTGTTGCTCCAAAAAGTTCAACACGTTTTAAAAAAATTAATACATATGAAAATCAAACCATTTAACATGTAAAACATTAAAAAACAAAATCAGATAAAAAAAAGTAAGCGAAAAATGGTAAATTAGCCTAACTCGACTTCCAAACTGGCTTTTTAAGGGAAATTTTATTTGTTTGAACGTCGAATCAAGCTAACCCCATTACGCGTTTCGCCGAAACAGACAATTGAAACTTTTTCGCTACAAAATTTTTTAATTTAGACAAAGTGTCTTGGAAAATTTTTTAATAGTCTAAATTCTCTGTTCCAATTTCCCGACGCGTCCGCACAAAATGACACATTAAGGTGTTAAAATATGTAAAAACTATTCCGATACATCTTAAATCTAGACTAAAATAAAAATAAATATCTAAATCAAAATAAAAATGAAAACAAAAATAAATAGCGGTCTGCTATTAGTCCTAGATATACAAAAACATACGGGCTGTGCCTGCAAGCTTAAAGATTTATAATTTTATATATTTTAGAAATCTGTAATGAAAATCTGTAATTAAAATAAAATTAAAAGAAAATTAAGATGAAAACCAACAAAGTGGGTCTTGCTAAAACCAAGAAAAGTTGTAACAAAAGAACAAAAAACTGACCTGTGGCGATGCAGATCGTTAAATATATATATATATATATATATATATATAATATAAATATAATAACAGTTACAATTATAATATGTATAATTTATATATTTAAATTTGTTAACGTGACGTTATTTAAATAAGTAATTGTAACATAAAAATATTTATGCAAAAACAATTTTAATGAAAATTGTTATTTCAGATCCGATTTCAAGATCCGGCAAACTGTAGGTATGATTTTTTTAAATCCATAACTTGAACACGCCGTAATTTACTTAGACTGGCTTCCGCAAAGGTATCTTTCATTCTCTTGCATAGAAAAATAGTTTTCCATATTAAGCTGTGTTCTATTGAATCAACACACGCCATAGATAACACAACATTCCAATAGGAATCTGATTTTAAAACGAACTGGCAACCACGTTTAAAATGTTACCACTGTCACTAATTTTCTGTTTAGTATACTCTGACAATTAATCACGGCTAAATGCATCCTTCAAGAGAGTAAATTTGGGGAAAAAATTATCTTCTCAGTTCGAGCTCATTTCTGCTTGAACGGATATATTAACAAAGATAACTGCCATTTTTGATATAAAAATAATCAAAACAAAATCCACGAGAAGCCCTTGCATTCGCAAAAGGTAGCTTTCGTCGGATATCTCGGTTTTTCTTTCAGTCAATTGATTAAAAAATTAGATTTTAAAATTTATTTTCTTAAACTTTAATTATGTATTTTTTATTTGTGTTTATGTGTAACATTCCTAGAAATATCTTATAAGTTGATCACGTGACCTTTCATTTTTTGCAATTGTCAGCTCAAATAATTAATTTTTACTTCCTTATACAAAGTAAAGGTAGAACTGCAATCGCGAAAAATTTCGGATCATATTTCAACGGAAATATTCTTTTTGACCATTCCCTAATCCATATGGATGATTTTTTCCCTGTCGTCAGAAAAAAAAAAAAGACTGTTTGCAAAACAAATTTTAAAATAGATACAAAATGGATTTTTCGTGACGTCTGTACTTACGTACGTATGTATGCATGTACGTATGTGTATGTATCTCGCAGAACACAGAAAATTCGGTTCAAATTTCGTATATGGGACTGCTATAACACCTAGTGGTATACCTCCTTCTTCATTGCAATCGGCAATATTAAGCGTATATATATGCGTTATTAAAAATAAATAGATATACACGTTTGGTACTACCTATATAGATAGATAGATACTATATACTATGGGAGTTAGCGTCTTTCGTTAGCGCTGTAGGTCGACAATTTGTCGCTCCGTCTTCCAAGTCCTTTTCAGCGGATTACTTCAGTCCACACTGCCAAAAGTAACATCAACGGAAGTGCATTACGTAAGGAACATAACAATACCAAATTTTTGATGCTGTGATCATTAGTTCCTGTTTAATTAATTTTTTCAAATATTCGTAATATCTACCATTCACCGCGGACTTTCATCAGAGCTTAGAAGCCCTTGCTTTCTCGACGTCTAAGTGTCTTACATCAATATACGCACGACATCCTGAGGAATAATTTGGTGCAAGTTTCAAGTGAATCGGTCGATTAGTTAATTAATTACGAGCAAAAGTATGGTTTGCAAACGTTGCAAGCACACTGAATCGTGAGTCATCGCATACCTCAGCGACCGTTGACGACGATTAACAAAAGAAAGCTCCCCTTCCCCAGAGCAACAAAGGAAACTGAGAGTTTTTACTTATCTTCATAACCCTGCTAATTACAATCGTATCTTAATAGTACCAGGACGGAAGTTATTTTCATCGCCTGAATGACACAAGATTCTAAATTTCAAGTTAATCGGACAATTAGTTGAATTTTTACAACTTTTCGCCTAATTTTCGGACTTAGCGACTGTTAACCAAAGAAAGTTGCCTCCCTCGGCAATACAAGGTACTTGAAGATTTTAATTAATTCAATTACTCAACTAATTAGCATCGTACCTTCACAGAGCCATGTCTAAAGTCGATCTCATCGTTTGCGCGACACAAGTTAAAAAAATCAAAAATTTAAGAAAATCGGTCATTTATATAGTTTTCAACAGTTCAGTTTTTTTTAAAAACTATTTCCAACGAATTTGTGCAACTTCAACTAAGTGCCTCATTAATTAGTGTAATTAGTGCCTGGAGTTTTCTTCGGTTTTAGTGTTGGGCTTGTGTTGTGCCAGTGTTTCAGCTTTGTGCGATCAACACAACAGCGCTAATTGGATTCCAATACACAGTGTGTTTCTTCAGCTTACTTGTGTGTTTCCAACTTCTTGTGTGTTCCTTACTGTATTACCATTATACTTAGAAGCACAAAAGAACAGATGAAGTTTTGTGGCCAAGGTATGCGACTATTTACATACATTTAATTACGCTGTCAGCTAGTTTTAATTATCTCAATTTTACCCAGAATCTTGAAATTTCTTCTCAAATTGCCTTAATAGTGATTATGCTTACTTTCATTCAAATTTTAAATCTATGTGTTTATATTACACCTAAGTATTTTTGACAATATAGTTCTTTTGCTGACAACTTTAATTGGTTTATTAGGACACAACTCATCTATCCAGTATTATTAGCTTTATTTCATTACCTTACCATTTATTAAATCATTATAAGAATTTTTTTTATGTAATAATTAGCTTTGTAACTTTTCAGTATAGCAAATTGAATTCCCATAAGCTAGTTCTTGCATAGTTGAAATTACGATCTGACTGGTCCTTGTGTAATTAGCGTTAAGTTTTGCAATTTAGTCTTTTGTATAGCCTACCTGTTTCTGCATAAATAGTGTTTATTTTGATCGGATTACCGGTACAAACGCCATTTTCAAGGATTATGCATACAAATGTAATGTCTAAACCATTGCATTAATTGGCTAACTAATTGTACGAAATGTGTGTCCTCAATATCAAACGGCCAGGATTTACTGAAACCATTAGCAATTATAATAGTAAGCAATACTTCCTAATTGACTGTATTCTGGTTAATCTCACCATATCTGATTCTCATATATGAATTAATCCATTCCCTGTCCTTCATATTTGATTTAAATCGTATCCAGTTTATTATTGATTGTTCGTTATATGATTGATTTAATCTGTACACCTGCATTTAACTGATTACCTGTATTTAATTGATTGCCCGCAATTTATTGTTCTTCCCTGTATTCCTGTTTCATACCATTCAAACACCCGCAATCGATGAGCACACAACTTACCACATACATTAATCATCTGTAAATCTTTAGTGACTGTCAACTAGTGACTCTGTGACTTAGTGACTTCCAACTATATAACAACTCCTCAGTGTCTGCCATCGTCTCTGTGACTTTGCGAATTAGTGACTACCAACTATATAGCACTTCAACTGGGACTCTTCAGCAAATGCGCGTGCAATAGTGCGTGTGAAACTCTAGTGACTCGACCTCTCAAGCAATTTCCTAGTGTGCTTACCACATTTAGGGACTCTAAGCTTGGTCCTTGCAGCGCACAGTGCAACGGTGCTCCTTCACAAAATGCCAAATACAGATACCTCATACTACGTCAGCAAACTCAATTTGGACGCAATCCTAGACTCCACCTCTCTCTCTCACGAAGATAAAAT